CATATCCTGCAAAGCCACACACACAAAAAAATATTAAAAATGGTCAAAGTCCTGTGAGTTAAAGATGACTGCAGCATTCCAGGAAAACATGGCTGACCATTGCTCGACATCGGTGCACTCTCGCTCACAAATACCCACATGCACAGGGTGACAGGCTATAAAGGAACCTGTTCGTGACAGTGTTTTAAGAGCTGGAGCGTTGCTCATCCATCAGCATTGGGTTTGATATCAGGGCCGTCTCCCTCGTGGGTCATTGACACAGATGACAATCCTGTCTGAGGGAGTTATGGAGCTGCCAGTTCCCTTGCAGTGTGCCACTCATTCACCCAATCCCAGACAAAAGGCTACTGGAAATCCCACCTCTTGTCTAAAAGCTGCTAATGATGCTTTCTAATAAAGCTTTTGTTTAAAAAAATATCATAGCCTTTCTGCACTAAAATCTACACATAAACACAACTTGTTGAGAGGTTTTCATGGGGATCTGTGACTGTGCATATTAACACTCCATGCTGTGGGTGAGAATACTGTGTGTTCTCCACAACAGCAAACAATACACAGCCACACAGGCATTTACAGCTCTAACTATATGACTGCAATAAAAAAGCACGGCAAACGAGGCATTCTGGGAGCCCCGGGCCAGATGTTGAGTGAGTGCTGCGCATAATAAGGCTTAATGAAAGGTTGGAGTTACCGAAATGTCCAGGGAATGAAAGGGAATAAACACAACATAAACAAGTCCTAAAAATTCAACTTGTCAATCCGAAACATGCTGCTTCCCACTCTGCTGGAATAAGATCACCTCGCACACTCTGAGGCTATTTTTAACAGTTTAAATGGTCGCATGAATGCTGTTCTGAGGCACAAAGGAGAGGAGCACATTGATCCCCGTCACAGTACGAGCTCTGTGTGGGGGTCTGCTGAGGACCACCGTGTTTTCAAGGTGACTCTAGTTGTGATGAGCAAGAGGTTTCCTGCTCAGGGAGCTTCTTTCATCTACAACTTCCTTCTTGTGGCGACAAAACAACCAGAATATGTCAGCTTATTGGAGCAGAGTGATGATGTCCTCTTCACTTGGCGAGGCACTGATATATTAACACCAACAGCAATAACTATTTGTTCATCATGYGAACAATAGCTGTTGTAAATGAGCTATTAATCGTTATACAGAGGAAGTTGGTAATACTTTCCTGTGACCTTTTATACGAGTTGGAAGTGAGGTCGCTGCCCCCCTCAGATAACACTGAGATAGTTTTTCCTTATCAGCTCATTGTTGAAAAGAAGTGTTTGATGTTTGTCTGCTGAGGAAAGCTGGCGATAGTAACATCTTAGTGAAAGTTGCTGTGACTTTTCTCCCATAAATCTTTCATTTCGACAGAACTCTATTCTCTGAATCATGTTACAATGCTGCTGTTTTTAAGCTTTCTTTGAATAAGAGAAGTAAAAAAAAAACCTAACAATAGCAGGAAGCAAATGCAACCCAAAGTCAGCTCTGTTCAGGGTTTGAACATGAGCACATTGAGTCCGCTCACTCTGGACTGAAAGGATATTGTTGTTCCCTGAAAGCTTATAACAAGACAAGACAAATTAAGGAAAGGTTAAGAGAAGCTGCTTGCCACACAGAGGTCCACTCACTTAAAGTGATGCATTGCAAAATTGCTTTYCTATTTGGTGTAACATTTATTTTGCCTGATGGGTGTAGGCTTTCTGTGTCAGCAAACAGACTTTCACTTTGTGTGTGTGGGATATGGAAGTATTTTGTCTTGCTCAACTTTTCAGTGCAGGTTCGCTGCAGATTTGTGAAGGACTTACACCAACTTCTGTCAATAATATGTTTAATCTACAAATATACACATTAAACCCACAGAAAAACGGAAGTAATTTTTGCTTCCTTTAAATTGATTGAGGTTTTGGGCAGGTACTGTGTTSACATTTTTATCCTTCACTGATACACTGTATTATTACCATGCTAATATTGCAATACTATTCTGTACTAGCTTAGCTAAGTTTTAGTCAAACTTACAATAAAAATATATTTCTTTAGTCTGCACTACCCCCCCAACACACACACACACACACACACACAGAGGCAACATAGTTGTCTCAGAGCAAAACAATCAATTATTAATAATTAATAGAATATGTTTTCCAAATATATTATCTTGGATTCAAAGTTATTAAAGGCACATTAAGATCAAAATTCAGAAGACCAACATTCCACCAATAACCTGGGCTCGACCTCTTGTACATATATTGTTATTGTATTATGTCACCAAATAATGACCTGAGTTTAGAGAAATAAAGTTTAATTCAGATTGAAGTTTGTAGCAAAAGCATTTGCTGCAATCTTAAATCAACTCTAATCACAAAAAGGTTCATTTTACAAGTAATTCTGGCAGAAATTCCTGCAGGAAGTTTCCCCATGCTGCAGCTAGTATCTGCTGCTGTATGCTCTCTAACTGTGCAATGCAACTTAGTGGTGATGCAAGGGTTTATGAAATAATAGCAACAGTAAAATAAGCTGTTTGGCAGAGAAAATTTGGCAAATATTTTATGCGTGCAACCCACTCAGCTCTTAGCTCATCCCACAAATGCAGGTTCCTTACAAACGTGGCATCAATTAAAAGGGGCATTAACAGGCTTTCCAATGGTATAGTACTTATTGGCAAGAAGCATTGTTGCAAAAAATTAAATAAATACAAATAAATAAAAATCTACCAAACACAAATTCCCTCACTTTTTATGCTAAATTTATATTACTCCAAGCTGAGGTTGACCAAAAAGAGGTAAAATAACAATTTCTCGTAACATTCCCACAGAACCCCACTTTAAAAATGTCTGAACAGCAGCTTCAMTATAAGTTGCAATAATGTCTGGTTTTGATTGTCTATAACCTAATTAAATTTTAAAAACTGCAATTCGAGTTAGATTATCTGGAAAAGCTGTAATCCAATGAATCATCTGACTAATTCCAAAGCTTGGCATATAATTTGTATTCTGCAACTGAATGTGTTTTGAAGTAATCTGACCAAGCAAACCGCGTACAGCTCAGCACGCCGAGCGCTGACCTGCCTCTGTGTCAGTGATTCCGTACAAATGTGGGTGATCAAGTGGCTGGGTGTGAAGTGACCAATGCTGTGCCAGAGAGATAAGCCAGAGCTGAAAGTCACGCCAGTCCAGTTGGCCCGGTCAACGCAGCTGAGTCAGACATGCAGCAAATGGCACGCCGTTTGTCTCATTATACCCACTGTCAGTCAGTGAGGGGAAGCTAAGGGCTTTTCAACAACACCAACATCAATTTCTGCTGGGCTCTGCACACACACACACATGCACACACACACAAACACACACACAAACACATACACACACAGGAACAGTGTTCAGGAAGTACCTCCTCACCACACTGTTTCTATTTAACAGAGTTGCAGCCAAGAACTGAGGTATATTTTTACTCCTCAAAGAAATTATGGGAATAGTAAATAAAGCATCTCTCTTTATGTGTATATCTCACGACACACAGGCGAAAACACACAACAATAAATTAAACTTTATAAAAAGCATTACACCATCAAATATATTAGGCAATATTAATTTTGTCTCCATTAAAGAGGGTTAAATCCTCTGTGCCATTAAGTTTCTTCTTCACTTCCACGAGTAAATCAGTCCTACAACAAACCGTAAAGCTGTTCCATCAAACAGTTGCTCAGAGTGTTTCCTTAATCCACCTCTTCCCCTCCGTCACAGCTCGTGGTATGCCACTAAACGCTTGGGTCAGGCATGAGTGTCCTGCCAGGGGTTTTAGGAGCCTTGTAAATATTAAAGTCGGCTTGTAAAGTTTCATAAAGTGCTGAAACCTGTAACAGCTATTTTCGTTTTTACTGTCAGTGTGCGGGAATTTACAAAGTTGCTGAATTTAAACCCCACTCAGACTGACAAGTCGTCTCCTGACATGTTCACAGTGGTTAAAAAAAGGAGTTTGTGCTCTGGCTGCCTGGTGGTGAGCTGGAGGAAGAGGAGGAGGAGGCAGAGGCTGGGCTCTGAAACTGTCAGCCACCACTAGAGGGCAAAGCAGCCCCAAAAATCCCTCATTACTCATGTTATAGTCAGTTTTTTTTTCCTTTTGTGTCTGCTGTGACAATATAGAAGGAGGGAAAAAAGGTGTACAGCAGCTAATTCATTCAGAATCACCAAAATATTTTATATTACATTATAAAAAACAATAATTAAATACACGTTTTAACAGAGATCAGCTGTATCTTAATATGTTATTTTCAAACAATCTCTCCCAACTTAGCCTGACGTCACTTAGAACCATCATTTTATATTTTGTCTAAACGGTTTGGTGCAGTTGAAGCAGAAAACAAGCTTGGCAGCTAAAAAAAGAGACAGCAAACAGCATATTCTTCATGGCTGCAGAGGGTGCTGAGATGGATTATGTTAAGAGCTTCCTGTTATGGAGGGATGTGGTGTGGCTGTGGGAAGGAGGTGGATATGCTGGTCTGCAGCTGCTCCCCTTGGCTGTGCAGTGCTCCACAGAGAGCACCGGCTCTGCCACTGTGATTCTGGGCCTCGGGCCCCACAACCGCCTGGGCCACAGGGAGGAGGAATGCGCTGAMTTAATGACGCCCCGTATATCAGACGAGCCACACAGCAAAGCCAGCCCTGCCATTGGACGGCGCTGTGCCCCGAAAGCCCGTCCCACTGTGAACTGGAGCTCTGCACAAAAGGCATGTGGAAACACAGTGGAGCCACTCAGAGTCGCTTTGCTCAGGAACGCGTCCTGCGCCGCCTCGCTCCGGGGATGCTCCTCTTCTCCAGTCACCTCTGCAGAGGTCRGGGAGGTCTCGGCGAGGCAAGACAGAGAGCAGAAGGGTTGAAACTGAGTGCAAGGAGCTGTATCCCCCCAAGGCTGATGGGAAGCAATAGTTGGGGGCATAAAGGGGCTTAGCACTGAGGCAGACTGCCATAAGTGATTGCAGCTGCTGCTGAGGCCTTGAAGTTGGCTAAAATAACATCCAGACAAGTCAAGCTGATGACAAGGTGTGAGAGAGCCTGTTTGTATCTGGTTTGTTCATGCTGTAGATGTCAAAAAGCAAGATATTTTAGGTAAACAAAACAACATGTAAGCTCATTCCAGTGTTTTTAGATTGGCCCGATTTGCACAGTTATGTGTGTTAAAATGCATACMTTTACCTTATAACTGTTTAAAGTAGACTTAGCATGCTTTTAAATCCTTCTTTTTCACATTTAAATCATTCAGGTCTAAACAAATTGGAGATGCAATGCTTTTGTCTGAGTTCCTCCTTATTGTAACTCCACAAGCCCCTCTTTCACCCCTTATTTGCGGTGTGTCTCAGATCAACTCATTTTGAGTCTGTCTCTTTAAATCCAAACGAGGCACCTCACACCTCGCCCTCCTCCAGCTTCCAGAGTTGTCTGTTCCAGTTTGATGGAGGGGTTTATGACTATATAGCGGCACAGAAACCTTTTATTTACAAATTAATAAAATATGTCCAGGTTGGAGTCTGACCCAGAAGGAGAGGAGAGTGAAGACGACAAAATTGTAGTTGGTAAGTCCTTATTTAGCATTTCCATCACAAATATGGTGACAATTCTTCAGAAAACATCAAAGAAAATAGAAAAAAAAAAGAAGGCATTGAAAATAAACAGCCCAATTAAAATACATCAATCTAGGCAGCACAGGGAGAGACTAAATTCAAATTTTCTGCATCCAAGTACACAACAAATGCATTTAACTGCTAAAATAGTGAATTCTGCTTTGAACATTTTGTACCTTTTCTCRAACTCCTGCATTACTTTTTCCACATTTTGCCATTGAGTTTGCATTGTCTTGAATTAATTTGTCTCTAAAGTGGCATAATCTCTACAGAAAAGCATCTATCAATAAGTTATTTCAACTTCTCCTTCTTTCTTCCTTCTTTTATACAATTTAGCTAAATGGAGGCATTCCCAGCACTTCCAGCAGCAGAGACGTCGGTGGTGAACGGTGCTTCATTTTTCTCCCCAGGACTAACTTCTCCATGCAGTGTGGGACAGGACTAATGACAGTCATGTTAATGATGTTGACACTCCCACCAGCGCCAGCCAGCGTACAGTAATGAGGGGAAGTAAATAGCAGGTAGCTGACAACGTGGCTGCTTCCGCTGCCACGCAACTAATGATCCCTTTCACACCCTCTGAACACACTTTGTAAAGATGACAGCACACAGTTTAGGAGGGTAAAGCCTGCCTTTCTTATACCTTTACTCGACCTGTCAGAGGAGAATACATCTGTTGAAACATGATACCGCCTCAGATGTTTTTTTTTCTTTTMTTTTTGCTTCTGTCTTGATAGAGCCATTTGTAAGGTGGATAAAAGATCAAACAGATCTGAGACACACTGTAAACATTGTGTTACTGATTGTGTTACACTGTACCTCCCACAGTTATACTCCTCTGTGCTCTTAAAGGAAAAAAAATATGTGATGAACTGTACCACACCTGATATAATTAGTGCATAAAGCACAGATCGTCCACAGGTTGTGTTACTGGACTTAATACATTAGGTACTCTGCACATGTTTTAAACCTTCACTAATCCCATCAGCCAAACATTTTAAAGTGGTCTTGATTGTCACCATCAATACTTAGTGATCTTGTGCGATCTGTCAACACTTGAGCTACGTTTTGTATGTGACTGCCAGCGATGATCACACCAATTTTTAGCTCAATATCTGTAATACTCACTGTTGTATCCTTGTAAAGACAATCACTGATACCAGGTGGTGGCCATCTTCAACTGGGTTGGCTCCAAAAGCTATCAGTTGTWAGTAGATCCATTGATTATTTCTAGAAGGTTTGTTTAAATCATTTAAGGAGATCATGAAACRTTTTGCTAGCAGTGCCTACAAACCCACACGTTTGTTCTTCTGTCCTCATAGGGACATTGCATCGAGTTCCATTCATTTTCCAGTCAGTTCTATAGCCTAAACCTGACCCTTACCTTAAAGCTAACTGCCCGCAGTACATACCTAACCTTAAACCTAACCTAACATGTTAGTCATAAATCTAACCCCACACCCAAAACCAGTCTTTAAACTCGTGGGGACTGGGCTTTTGTCCCCATAAGAAGTAGTGGGTCCTCACAAGGCTACGTGTACGGAGAAATGGTCAAAAATTGTCCCTATGAAGTAACACACACACACACACACACACACACACGCACGCACGCACGCACGCACGCACGCACACACACATGTTTGTTTCTCGACCCCGTGGG